AAATTTAAAAAAATCGAAGGTCCAACCAATTGAGCTTACTGGTGGCAAGCGATCAACCCAGTCCAGTTCCGCTTCATTCCTCTCATCTTTAACAACATATTCGACCCCGAAGACCCAGGAGACCCAGCTCCCGTGGGTTTAAAAGGGCGCACAGTAATGACGTCGAACGTTTAATATCACAAGTGTATAAATGAAATGTAGATCAAGAAGCACAGATGAAGCGTAACTTGGAGAATAACATTGAATTATTATACAGTATTGTTGATGATAATATCTCCGTATTGTTTTATATTATACAGTCCCCAGTTGTCACTATAGATCAAGGAATTGACCATTTTTCATCTGTTATCATTGAAGTATCTGGTCCTTGTTGTGAGTCTTTACCTATTCCTCGTCCTGGTCGCAAAGTCAGACGAAGTTCATAAACCGTTGTTTAACGAAAAGTGTAGACGATAATATAATTCTTATCAACGTAATCTTTTTTTCTTTCAACTCAGATCGATCTCTGGTTAATAGACTATCTCTTGTTGAGGCCAAACGTAAATATTAACGTCACCAAAGAGTAGTCAAGCGTAAGTATTTTAGATCAGAGGGTGACCGTATTAGTATGTTACGTAGGAGAAATCCGAAATGATTTTACCCGTATTTTTAAGAGAAAATCAAACTCCCAACAAACTGACTCGAATCTCGCTGATTTTTTTGGAACACTTCAAAGATGTTTGTAAAGGTGAGGACTCAATTGACCGTTAGGGCGGAGATAACTCAGATGTTTATGATGAATTAGATTCTCCTATTACGCACGATGAAGTAATCAGGTGTTTTGAAGAGTGCTAAACTGGGTAAATCGGCAGGTGTTGATAACATACTTAACGAGTATTTTGTAAAATTTAAAGAAGTTGTTGTCCCGATACTTTCTGAATTATTTAATTCTATTTTTAAAAGGGGAATATATCCATCAAGCTAGTCAAGGGTCATCCTCGATATCCAGGGGTTACGCTCAATTTCGCTCTCTGCACCCCTGGAATATGTCATAGCAAAATTGAAGGCGACAAGAAGACTAGTTCTATTTTGATAGATAGTTTTACGCTCCAGTATTATTTGACAAAGTCTATTGCGGATGTTTACCTTGAGTTAATTTCTAAATTTCGACTATCGACAGATTCTTTTTATCAAATAATTGATCATACATTGATTGTTCCTATTCGACTGTGACGTCATTTCCGGAGTGATATTACACACGTTACATAAACATAATTCATGTGATGGCTTTATGACACTGCATAACACGGTATGCATATGATACTGTATCATTGTATAAATGTTGTAATAGTATACCTTTTAGCCCCAAAGGCTTAAAGTTGATAAACAATACAATACAATTTAGTTCTGCGCCAAATGTTACAGATAGGGGCGGGGTCGAAATGCAAGGTCAGACGGGGATTCGAACTAGACTCTCCGAGCTCTAGACGGACGCTCTAACCAATTCAGCTACCTGGTGCACGTGCCTGGCGATCGATTAAGTACAGTTTCTCACAAAGGAATAAATAGTACATGTAAATGACGCTATTTATAATAAGATATCAGCTACTTAATTCTACAGCCATCATTAAATATTCATTAAGCTGTAATTACATTGTTAGGATACCGTGCCTCTGTCAAAACCTGTAGCTACACACAGGAAACAGTTTTCCCGGCATGATTATAGCGTCGGGGGCCAAGTGGTTAAGGCGTCTGACATTCTGCTACATGTACCACTAGCCATCCACCACTGGGTCGTGGGTTCGAGACCTACGTAGGGAAGTCACCAGGTACCGTAAGTCGGTGATTTTTCTTAGGGAAGTCCGGCTTTTACTCGAACATCAAAACCTGGCACGTCCTTAAATGACCATAGCTCTTAATAGGACGTAAAACACAAACAAACAAACTATAGCTTTTTAAAAATCCTTCCTGAAAAGAACACCATTTCTTGCGGGACTATTATGAAAAATAGTTAATATGAATGAAACAAAATATAAACATGGCTCTGCGTCAAACAATTGGACGGGGTTAGACTGGGATTCGTGCTCTGGGCTTTAAGTTGTTTGTACGCGTATCGCTCTAACCAACTGCGTTACCTAGACAGCGTAAACGTCCTGGTCCGAATATAAACTAATTGAAATTATGGAAGGATACTGTATCAAAGAAAAGCCGACAGGGATCCTTAAAGTGAGAGTGATGTTTCTCTCCTTCGAATAATATATTAGAAATCAATTATAAGCTATCATGACCGGGTTCTCATACCGTTATACACACTCCGATTTATATATGCTGAAAGTTAATGTGTGGTGGGCTGTATAGTATCAAATTAAACTGTACGCTAAAAAAAAACAACCCCAGCTTTCAATAGTTTTCAATAAAGTATTAATATTTGGGGGTTGGGGAGATATGAATTCATCTTTGGGAGAATACTTCTCAAACAAACATATCAGTTATGAAGTTAGATATTTACACATATGAACCAATTAAGATCTTATCTTAATTTTCCATTCGACATGAAATGGAGTCTTCCCTGTCTTAGTTCGTGGAACAACGCGACGTACGTGTTAATACTTCATGTTAGCATCAATTAAAATCTTTCAAGTGTCGTTTCCGACCGAGTTGAAGAGGTCATGGCCCATGGGTATATAAAGGGGCATCACGGTGAAGTAACTTTATTTTTTGTCTTTTTTTTTTCAAATACTACATTAACATATCAAGTGAGACTCCTTATGGAAAATAACGATCGGATTTGGCTGAAATAGATTCATAAAAATGATTAAATCTAAGAAAATCATCGGTATTTCTACCTGTCTGACCAACGTTTTGTTCAGGGATTTCCCTCTACTAGCGCATGCGCATAACACACCATT